ATTCTCTCTCTCTCTCTCTCTCTCTCTCTCTTTCTCTCTCTCTCTTTCTATATTGCATGAGTCTATCTCTCTCTTTGTCTTCATTGATTCATTAGAATGTCTGTCTCTCTCTCTTTCTCTTTGTTGATGCAATAGACTCTCTTTCACTCTCTTGTTTTCTATGTTACTTGAGTCTCACTCTCTCCATGTCTATTTAGTGATGCATCAGTCTATCTTTATTATTATTATTATTATTTTTGTGTCAATTATTCATTTCTAGCTCTGTCTCGCTCTCCCATTCTCACTCTTAATTGGTCGGGTTTTTGTAAATTATTGGTTGCTATTCTATTTTGCTCTATCTCTCTCCTGGTTATTAAAATATGTTTCTTTGATAGGTTTATGTAAGCAATGTTTGCTTCTTGTATTTTGAGGGTCAAATACAATTATTGTGCAAAAAAGATGCTATGCTAAATAATATTTTTTTTTGATTTATATGCACTTCATTTGGATCTTGATGCTATATTTTGCACAAATGCCAAATTAGGGTTGTTATTTTGGAGTAAGTTGCATAGGGGGAAAAGGAAATTGTAGGGAATGGTACCAGGGTTCTGAACTGAAAAAGAGTCCCTTTAATCTTTGTTTATTTGTTTATTAGCTTGTGAACTGTTGTTCTCATTGATCATATAAAATTTACCAACTTTATTTTTATCCCTAGTGGCATTTACATAAGCTATGCACACAAATGCAGAACCCAAAACTGTATATGACATGGCTGCCCAAAATGGTAACAAGCCACACACAACCTTTAAAGGCTCTGAGTTTAGGATGTTCTTTGTTTTCAATTTATTGTGAGCAAGTTAAATAGTATTTAGTGGTCGGCTTGGTCATTTGATTCTTGTTGAATATGTTTCAAGGACACTGTAATTCTTGAAATTCTTTCCAAACTCTTAGAGAAAATTTTGTCGAGCCTCCATGAAAAGCCACTTCTTTTATTTGCCCATGTGATAGTCATTCCTTTCAATCTAAAGAGTCCCTAAAACTTCCTATGGAGTTAGTGAATCCACCTCATACTTTGCCTTTCTAAGGACTTGGATAGAAGTGACGTGCAATCCTTTGCCCCTTGAAATTTGCAACATGATACTTGTGAATTTCAATGTAGAATTCTCATTGATTGCCTTGATAAACATTTATTCCCTATTTTGTGCAGTTTTTGTGAGTTCCACTTTCATGCTTAGATTTATTATTTTATTTTTTATAATGAAGAACTTCCTGATTTTCTTTTGAGCTAAATATTGAGCTATCCACTACTCTGAACTATTTAAATGCTATTTGTTGGTTCTTGATTTTATCAGTTTTTAGGAGCTAATGAAAGTGGTTAGGATGCCAGTCTGTAAGAGACTAACCCAAAGAAATCCATCTAAGCACGCAGTGAACAAAAATTCTTATCTTCTCATGAAATGGCTGGAATATTGTATTCATTAACATGTTCCATTGTGAATGTCACCTCCCTTAGATCTATTCGTCAACAGGTTTGTGGAAACCTTTTATAGAATATGATTTTGGATGCTGGGCATCAATTGGAAGGGCTACTATAGCTTTGTTGTGTTGGTTACTTATTTTGACCTTCTTGACTTTCCCGTACTGTTAATATTCAAGCGCAGTCTCCAAGGAATCCTTTTGACCTTCTTGACTTTCCATATCAATTAAAAGTATTAAATGCTTGTGGACTCTTATCCAGATTTTCCCTTCACCCAAAAGCTCAGATTAAAATTGTGTAGTCTTTGCTTTTGATTACTTTCTGCATTCATTGTCATTCCGAGTTTTGTTCCATCTTAAAAGTCAGGTATTATACACTATTCAAGTTCTTTTGTTTTTTTTTTATGTGAGCATTTTTCTTTACGTTGTTTAGAATGTACAATTCAATGTACATGTGTGGTTTTCTGTACAGGTCTAAGCCACTAACATTTGAAGAAGCAAAAAATTTAAGGACGAAACAAAAATGAGTGGCTGTTTACAATAAGTGTTGTATGTGGAGGAACCTTCCCTAGCAGCAAGTTTACGAGTTCATTGCAATTCAGTGTTCGAATCTCATCCTCTAAGCACCTATCATTAAAATTTGATACGCCACTTTCAAATTTTTCCAGTTTGTATCAAATATAATTCAATCAAGGACAACCATTCTTTTGGAATATCAGGAAAAGCTCGCTAGTATGAGTAACATTTGTGAAGTTGGTTTATTAGACTTTGTGTGGCATTGATTAATTCAGATGGTCTGAACCAATTCATAAATTGGTAAGAAAAGAGAAACTATTGTTAGGGAAGTGATAATAATCACCAAATGCTCTTAAGGACATTGTTTAAGTCATTTACTTCTGAATGGGTACCCTTCTTCATTATATAAATGGATTATATAAAAGGGAATGAAGTCCTTTCAAGGCCCGGTATTTTGTTTCTCTCTAGATTAAGTTTCTTTCTTGGAAGGGGCTTGCTGTAGCCTTTGATCAAGAAAGCCTGTGAGCTAGATTTGCTCATTCTTGCAAGGTAGTGAATGATGGTGGTGGACCTGGAAGAGAGATGTGATCTCTCGGTTGTCTCTCGATGAGTTGAAAGAGGGGTTTTGATGAGGGTTTTTCACCGGGTTCTTCATTATGAGTTACTTTGTATCTCATGTGGCATTACTCTATTCGATAGTGTGTTTTACTTACTGTCTTATCCATGGGTGTAGCTTTAGATGTGAACCACGTAAATTTAGTGTTGTGCTTTGTTCTTGTATTTCCTTTTGTGGATTGTGTCTCCATCCAACTTATTGCACATGGTTGCTTAGGTATTTCCGTGGGCTACCACAATCATATATTCAATGCTTGGGTATTTGGTTGTGGTCGGGTTTTTGTCCCAACAAGTGGCATGAGAGCATTATGTTTCGTACATTAATTTGGGAAAAATAACAAGTAGTTGATTTGAGGTGGGGAAATTTGATGGTAAAAATGATTTCGATTTATGGAAGATTAATGTTCATGATTTTTTGGTCTAATAAGGGGGGAATATAAGGTGTTACTTGCAATTGGACAAGAAGCTGCAGTCCGTGTGTGATGAGGATTTAGTAGAAATGGACCCCAAAGTTTGGTTACAATCCGTCTATGACGGATAGTGTGTTGTTCAACATAGTGGGAGAAAAAATGGCTAAGGGTTTACGGGAGAAGCTAGATAGTGTCTATTAAAACTAGTCTCACAAACTGCATTTTATAAAATTGTTTCGTTTGAGAATGAAAGAGGGAATGAATGTTTTTTATCAATTGAACACTTTCAACAATATCATATGGGAACTTGAAAATTTTGAAGAATAAAATGAAGGATGAAGATGAGGCGGTGATGTTCTTGTGTACACTATGGAAACACTATGATAATATGGTGACAACACTAAGTTGGACCAAAGATGACTCACTTGATTTGAGTACAATAGGTAGCAGATTGCTTGTGCGTGAACTTTAGAAGAAATCATCTCTTGTAGAATTGGAGTTAGAAATGCTCATGACAAGAAGTTGTTCAATTAAGCGGGGTAATTCATCTTAGGAACCTTCAAGAAGCAAATCTGCGGCCCAATTTGAGTTAAAGGTCGGGAAAATTACTTTCTTTGTTGGGCATGCAGCATGCCGGAGACCTAACCCAAATCAATTGGCCACCACAACCACACACTCAGGCACTAATATATATTTAATAACCTGTGGAAATGCCCAAGAAATCAAATAGAATAAATTGCTTGGACACACATACCATAAAAGGAAATAAAATAATAATAGCTAACACCAAATTTACGTGGTTCACCACTTGTGCTACATCCAGGGCCATGACGACAAGTAAAATTAACTATCAAAGAGAAAAATTGATGTAGTATTTTTTTATTTTTATTTTTTTGTTTTACTATTTTTAGATTTGAAGTTTGGGTTCTTTTGGGTTTCTAGTTTTTTAGGGGCATTTTTTTTTCTAGATGTAGATATTTTAAGGGCAAAAGTAAAAGATTTAATGTTGATTAGGATTTCTTAGAGAGCAAGTCTGGATTTAGGGTTCTTTTATTCTATGTAGCGATTGGATTCGAATGGGATAGAAGAGAAGAAGTTTATTTTCGATCTTGTGAAGAGATCTTTTTGAGTGGGCTCCCTTACAGACCTTGGGCAAGGGTATAATATCTCATTATTTAGTTTTCATCTTATATTATTCTGGTTTTGTTGTTTTCTTTCTCCTTTCATCTTTACGTCAATTGGTATTAGAACCTACAAGATCCCTCTATCATAATGCTGCCAAACCTACTCCTATGATAGATGATCTATTTCCACAAATTAGAAGGTATAAACAAAGCCATGGAAGATATTCGAAGCGAGATTTGTGAACTTTGAAGAAGGATCAACGAAGTAATCGGCGGTTGTAGTGATTAAAAGCAACGTTCATTGAGAAAAATGTTGCTCACAACCATATAGCTTTGACACTAAATTTCCTTCTAAAAATGAATCGAGTCTCACAACCGATTCGAGGTGCTGATTCTAAATGTGACGAGCAAATTTGCAGGCAAGGTCCATGGCTTAAGGAGTCCCCACATGATCTCGATGTCAGGGTTAGTCTTGTAGAGGTTTATCAGGAGTTTGAAAGAGATATTGAAATAATGTTCTACAATCCAAAGTTCCACTACAAGTTGCCTATATATTGTTTGATGATTTGGTTCATTGAAGAAGATAAAGTGCCGAGGATCAGTTGGACTTCATCACCAACTGTTGATGAGGCCTCCAACGCA